TAACAAATTAACAATAACACAGTTTGCGATTGCATTTGTGACAAATAGAAAAAGGTAGTTAAAGACATCGCCAAATATATTCGTCATGGATAGGAAGATAAAAGTGAATGAAGTGACCACAATTTTGATAGCAGAGGAAAGAGGTGTGATTGCAGCAGAATGAATGGTTTCCCTAAGAGTTTCCTCGATCTTCCCGTGCAGCCTGAAAGTATAAATTCTCAAACACCTGAAAACACTGCAATCTATCAAAAGATATCAAACCAAGTATTTAAATATACCTCGACCATGAACTTTTCGACAATGTTGTCTACCTGTTAAGATCACATGGCCCTAACGTTGAGACCGTGCCCGAGAAAAGGGCGCAATACCAATACGATGTCGAGATTTGAGGAATCTAACTATTGGAATGCATTATCGATTTGATATTCCTAAGATGTTGCTGAAATGTTTGGAAGGATGAAGGACTCCAACTGAAGTATAAGTTAGTTTTGACAAAGGATGATGCAGCTCCCCCGCAGTTTTTTGCATTGTGCAAAACTCTCGATCAGGATGAGATTCGAACTCACGCGGGGAAACCCCAATGGATTAGCAGTCCATCGCCTTAACCACTCAGCCACCTGATCACGATGCATTCTAAGAGCTCTTTGAAAACTNGTGCCTTCAATTGTAAAGGTGCTTTTGTGTCATTGAACTACCGTACTTTTGAGACAGAAAGCGAAAGAAATCTTGTGAATATGTGGAATATTCCCGAAGACCTTGAAAAGTACCTATTTACGAGAAGTTAGAGAAACTAGTAAGATCACGGCACATAGGAAAACCAGGATGTTTCCATTCATCATATTTACTAACAAAATCAAACATTGCTCGAGGGGATGAGTCGACTTTTGCCAGAGATGATCTGGCCAAAACTGAATGACCTACCATTAGAAAAGAACTGGGGAATTCGGTAAAGAACTAGCAAGTTTCTACAAAACGCTTGGAGCACTGCTACTCCTAGCACAGCACTTGAGCTCTCCCTCCTCTCCCTCCTCGATTGGATGCCGTATAAGTCGAAAATCGCCCAAACTTAATATAGGGCCATTTGCAAAAGTTAAAAATTCCGTGGCGTTGAGTAAACCCGTTTTTTGAGGCTTCCACATACCGTTTCCGTTCAGGATCGCTGTGGCGTTATGAGCGCCTACTTGGTCTACGACGTGACTTTCGGGGACCTCCCAAGTAAGATCTCGCCAGTGCTTTAAACTTCGAGACGAGTCTGGTTCTGGCCAGCAAGAACCTAACCTCGGGGGAAGGGGATCGATTGTTCCAGGCGGCTTTCTTCCAGGATACGATTCCAGAACATGTACCTTCCAGGGTACGATCCCAGACCATGTATGTGCGATAATGCACCACATGCCACAACATCACCTCACCCACGAGGTGGATTTGCAGTTTTGAAGCAATTTAGGAGTTTCAGGTTGAAGAAAGTTGTTGACGAGAGTGCTACTGCCGAACGACAATACGAACGAGCATTTATTCATCCAACTTCTTCGATGCTACAGCGTTCATTCCTTACAATTACCTTAGAGAATGCTTGGGATTTAATCGTTGAGTAAAACATAGGAAAAGTGTTACATATTAATCGATTCTCTATTTCTTATTTATTTGTCTTTGGAATCCGCTGACTTGTCCGCCGACTTTTCCGCTGACTTATCCAAAGACTTCTCCGCTAATTTCTCCGCTGACTTCTCGGCTGACTTTTCCAGCTTTTCCGCTGATTTCGTAGCTATTTCCTCTTTTGATTTTCTCTTTTTTCCTAATTCTTTCAAAGAATCTTGAGATTTTGATTCCAGTGAGCCTTTTGGTTTGACCACATCTTCTTTGGAATCGGCCGATTTAGATTCCTTGGAATCTGATGAGAAATCTTTCCTTTTATCCTTCTCTTTCGATAAGCTCTTCACACGCTCCTCAGACTTCTCAGCTGATTTTCTATCGAAAAAGTTGTACAAGTCATCAATATCATCTTTAAGTTTGAAGAGCGATCTGTCCTTACTGCGAATGGCTTCTGCACTAGCCTTACTGCCACTACGTTCTTTACTTCTGCGTTTTCTCATTTTCTCATCTGACCGCCTGCGGCGAGCTTTGGTTTTTCTACGCTTTGTTTTCTTTTTCCTCTTGCCCATAGGCTTTACCTCCTTGGGTTTTTCTTCCACATCTAAGAATCCTGCCTGTACCAGGAGAATCGTTTCATTCCATTCTCGCAACTTCTTCCGAAGCAATCTTATCAATATTAACTGTGCAAACAATCCAGCCGTCATCAAGGAAGAAATCACCAGCAGTTTCAGCTTCGCTCGTTTCCTGAAAAAGGAGCGTGAAGTGTGACTTTTGACTTGAGATACGCCTTGCATCAGACTGCTACTTAGAATCGTAGGTTTGTTCTGAATACGTATGTGGGTCACGCCATCACTTCCTTAGCCGGCCGATGGATGTTCAAGTCAAGTCACCTTCCATTCTCTGAGTGAAACTGATACCAACTAATGACCTCAGGAAATAGAACGCTACATTGTTCGGTCATTGTTAGGCCGATGTCATCCTGGGATTCGATCCAAGAACCATGCTTACGATAGTGCTAATCGGAAATTCCCCTTCGACGCAAGCTCAGAGGAAATGCACGGAGGATTGCTTCTGACTATCCTTGGGCCCATGTTATTTTGGGATTTGATCCAGGAACTATGCTTGTGATGGTGCTAATGCGGAGTTTCCTCCTGATGCAAGTGGCCTGCCGCAAATATGTACACGTATTTATACAAGTAAATAAGGCAAATGTGCCATCGCAACTTACAGTATCCGCTTCTGTTGCTCACGAATGAAATCCTGAAAAACTCGCGCAATGGGCTACCCATGCAGGAGTGTGGAGAAAAGACTATCGTACCTCTTCTTTATCCCCGATCATCATCATCGCGCTTCCGTTATATCCTAAATTCAAGCACATTAGGGAAGACCCACACTACTCATCTCATGATACCTGTTATGGCATACGTCGTTGGCGTCGTCATGATTGGTGTGACAGAAGTAGTGGTGAGTTCTATGTCAGAAGTTGCAGTGGGACTAGGAGATGGGAATGGAACTGTGGTACTCGATGTGGTAGTTTCTGTACTGGTTGTGGCGACGGTGGTGGAGGTTGTGGGAGTGGTGGTGGTTGTGGTAGTGGTTGTTGTAGTAGGAGAAGTCTTAGAGGTGCTTGTTGTCGTTGTAGTCGTTGTAGTCGTTGTAGTAGTAGTCGGAGTTGTTGTCGGAGAAGTAGTAGTGGTAGTCATAGTTGTAGTCGAAGTAGTCGTACTCGGTGTTGTTGACGTAGTAATCGTGGCAATAGTCTTGGTTGTAGTCGAAACATCCCCTACTGACCACTCATCAGTCACGAAATCTGATAGAGTTGTCGAAGAGTTCAGGGACACTGTTGTGGGTGACGTTTTTGCATCCATAAGAGCCGATGTAAGCCTCAACAATGCTTTGGTGACTGCTACACAATTGACTCCACTGTGTCGATCAAGTCTCCTTCCATAAGAGTCCAGGTTTTGCTGAAATAATATATATTATAATAATATAATAAAAATCTAACCACATTACTAATCAATTCAACTGAATTCCGATAGTCTGCCCATGATTGTAAATCAGCCGTTCCTGAGCCGCTTGCTCGGTCATCATTGGATACTATAAGGTTGCTCAGTGCTATATTCCACTCGTTTTCGACCTTGTTCAAAGATATTGACGTTAAAGGTGATCGCGAGAAAAATAACCTATACAGTTACCATTTGTAAGGATCTGATGCCCCTGAAAAGGCTAATGAGGCATTACTCGATCAAAAAGTAGCCTTTCGAGAATGGTTGCATTCAGGGGTCTTATTAGGGTTGATATCTTCTGAAGTGAACCACGGCTGAATGGATCATTGATCTAATTGTGTTCTATTTTAGACCGACCATCGACCTAAACGGGGAGGAGTTGATGTAGTGGCAAGTAGCACAGTATATCGCACGCACGGTCGCGGGATCGAGTCCCTGATCGATATCCGCCTAGGCCAAACAAGCCTACCATCCTTCCGCGGTCGGCTTCAGACGGGATAGATTAACACCAAAAGACTTTAAGTCTTCATAGACCTTAACAAGGTTACTAAATGTGCCCAAGTCAAGTGATAACAGTTGTAGGCGTTGCTCTGCAACAACTGGAATCTGGTCCAGACACTTCCTACGTCGTCAAGTCTCATCCAACGTTAAAAATGATTAATCCCTGAGCTCTGAATAAAGCTAGCCGGACGTCTTATCATTGAATATGAAGAGGAATCTAGAAGTCTTACCATAACTTTTATGCCGCACTTCAATTGCTCTACTACCGTGGCTTCGTGTCCATTTATACTGCAGTAGCATCGAGCTCGCAGAGAGCCTTTATTGACAGATCCTATTTGTGTAACACCCGAGCACTTCTGTGAATAGTAATCTCATTTCAGTGTTCACTCAAGATTAAGATTTGTCTGCTACGTGAGCATGATTAAAATTCAGACTTCGTCTTCAATAAGTTTGCAACTTGATATGCATAACCGGGTCTCAGATATGTAGGTGATGATAGGAAATGATAACGAATGATAAACTGATGTATGTTTTCTTAGCGAAAACCAATGAATCTTTCGCAGCCCTCGTATCGACCATGAGGTATAGGCAACAATAGGGAATGGGAGAGCACCGTAGATAGCTAGTGGAGAGTGTGATAGCATCCTGCAAGGATAATTAACGGGGCACAGAGAGCGAAAGCCTGCACTTCAATTACTCTCTTCTCATCAGCAGCTTAGGCTTGGCACTTCAGTTGATGTCTGATAATGGATGGGAAAGATTTATATGCTGAACCTACATACAGCAATTGCGAGAGGCTGTTCAGTGGTGATCAAAGGATGTTATCAAGATTGAGCTCAATATACCTAGATGGAAGCATAGGAAGTCGGGAGACGGGCGGCGGGATCGGTTCTGTATGGTCGATTCGCCGCACGCGGCCGTCGCGAACCATCCGAGGTAGGCCCCCGCCCTTTAAGTGAAGAAATGCAGAGGAATGTAGGATAGAGCTGAGTTATCCATATCACTACCTTAACGTAATCATAAGTTTTGCGGACGGACAGGCCGACAAACATACAAACCGACACACCAAGTTTCTGCTTTATAAATGAGAGAGATTGCTGCTGCATTCTGCAACATGCCTTCGCGTTCGGCGTCCATCTCGACGCGACGCGACGATTTCGATCCTACTGCTCCACACCCATAGGAAGTCGAAGTATGCGCTGCATTTTTGATCTCTAATTTTGGAAACCTTTAGTGATCGGGGAAAGGGCCCACAGCAAAGCCAGACTTTCTGTTTCCAGAGCAATCATCACATTTCAACTTGGTAACACAATAATCGGTGGGTACTGATGATGAAAGAATCTCATACGCCAGCCAAAAAACTAATGCGTCCATTTTATTTTTACAAATGAATGTTAAAAAACAAACCATGTTAGATCTTGACATTTCCCCGACCGCGAAATGTGTATCCGCTATTAGGCAACGGCTCGCAACAAGTTCAACCATTACATAGGAGCACAAAGCAGGCTCTCTTTCCTGCAAATACCATATCCATATTAGATTTCTTAAGTTCAACTATGGTAAGAACTTACTCGTGTATTGCCGGAACCGAATCGCTTTAAAAGAGGACATCTGCCCTGGCAAGAACTATGATGAAAAAGATGGAAGATTATCGGCAGGAGAGTTCCAACGGACGCCGCACTAACCATCACACCACTGGGTAATGAGACTACCGGAACACATCATCCTTTAATAGTACTTTTTATCAGTACGATAAACTGTTCGGACAAGAAACATATTTCAGATGGCCAGTGTATTCCTTTTGACTTCTCCTCATTAGCAAGTACCTAGTATTACTCACCACCAGTTCGGTCGCCCGGTCTACGCCTGTCATTTCCTACTTTCACAAAGTGGACAGAAAATGTATTATATTTGGTGCCGGGGTGGGGGTGTGCACCTCACCCGCCCTGTGCTTCTTCACTCCTGAAGCTCAGGTCAGAAAACTGTATGTTCTCGTCTAAGAGACGTTCCTGAGCTCAATCATTGGCTCACTGCCTAATCTGCGCTATAGCGTTCAAAGTTGAAACAAAGGGAAGGTCTCTCAACCACATTATCAGCTCCGATTTTCGTGTAGACATTATTAGACATATTAGCGCGATGCCACTACAGATTGGGATCACAGTTTTGAAGTCTCCACTTCACGTTACTCACTTCACTCCGTAGTACTAACTCTTCATATCACTACCTTATAGTAATCATAAAGTTTGCGGACGGTCAGACCGACAAACCGTCAAACACCCAAACCCATAAACCCACAAACCGGCACACCAAGTTACTGCTTTACAATTAAGAGATATTAGGATCCTTCGAGCTAGTAGGGTCCAGTAGACAACACTGGTCGCAACAGTAGCAAATGGAGGATTTAGAGTTTTCGGACGAACTGGTTGCTGGAGATGCGAGTTCGGTTTTCTACGACTTTGACACGCTGTGTTAGACCCTAAAGAAAACCCAATGACACAAGCCAAATCGGGTCTCATCTCAGGGAGGGTCTACTGTGCAGCTTCTGGTCTTTGCGAGGGATGTTGTATTAAAAGCTGCTTCCTCGAGAACACACCAATAAACTCCAAAAGTTTTCAGACGCTATTTGAGAAAAACGACCAGGACAAGCTTCCGTCCACCGACTGCACGATAATGCTGGGCTACATAAATGTAGCCAAAGGGACTCGTGAAAAGTAGAAGCTTGGCTGGGATACTGTTCCAACCTCCCTCCCCTGTTCCCTTGAAATTGCACCCTTCCCCCACTATCACCTATTTCGTCTCCGCAAGAGTATTATAGCTAGGAAATAATTCACCAAACTTGATGATGTTGAAGGGGGAGCAGCTAATCTTTCGACTGGCGGCTCCCCACCTTCTAGAACCAGGGACTAGCTGATCTGCCCACTAGGTGAGACATTGTTGTGACCAACAGTGGTGACCCCGTAGTAGGATGGATTTCATTGTATGCTGAAGATGAAAACGAAACAACAAAGAATGTCGGACGGCTCAAGACTTCCTTGCCAACCTAATATTTACCAATGCTATCTATAATTGTTATGATGACACTTTATAAAAGATCCTTAGTCCACATTCATAGGCTTAGGTGCGCTAACTACAATTCCATGACCACATCAATTCAACAAACTTCAGTCAGGTAAAAGTAAAGCATGGTTCAAAACAATAGGAAGATCTCCACTCAGGTGTTTAATAAAAAGAGCCGAAGTAGAAGTGTACTACAGGAAGGTTAGATGATTACTAAGAGCTGTATGGTTAAAAAGCATCCATGTTTGATTCCAGTAGGCGGATGACCTTAAGGATAACGTTACTCCCAGACAAACACAGGCATACATGTGGAATCGGAGACCAAATTTTTGGGTGTCAAGTACTTTATGTTATCACTCACTTTTTGTCATTCTACTCGAGTTTTGTCTCATGAAACATATCAGAGTGTGAAGTAGCAACTGAACGGCCTACTCCCCATCGGTTGCCATCTTTTCCCGCAGTACGAAAGAGAAACCAATTCACTGCTCCAGCATTACCATCGATTATCAGTCCTTGCCAGCTATTATCAGTAACTGTCACCAACTACCCACATTCCGACGAATCCCACACCATCCATTACTGTCAAGGTTTCATCCGAAAATTTCGTTGTGAGTACGAAGGGTTGTCCTCCAGGTTCTTTACACACCTATCAATCGCATATCAGTTTCTGTCCGTACCGCTTGTATTCCTTCACAATTCAGGGAACAGGATTTATGAACTTACGGCAAAAAATCACTATCACACCAGTAAATGGGCTTGATGGATAACGTATAATAGGATGACTCTGAGATGAAAATCCCGCTCGTTTTCCCGAGCTTCTTATTGTTTTATTTCCAAAGAATATTAACAGTTCTTTGCAGCGTCACTATCATACTTTGCCCAAAACGACCTGTCGTTTAGATACATTCGAGAAGCCCTTAAAAATTGATGGGACACAAACAGGGACACTATTTTTGTGTTTCCATTCAAGCGCTTATTAGTTCAGTTTTTTCCTGATGCTGACCTCTTGTCGGGAAGGTGTTGTTCGTCAGAATACCCTCACCCGATTGAGAACGGCAAATGCGCTCGCTGTGCGTGACCGAAAATTCACAACTCCTGTCTCCATGCACCCAGGGCGTACACTTATGGTAGGAAGCGGGACTGGACTCCGCTCACAGTGGACGAGGCTTTCGTGCAACGTTTTACGGCGAATTCACAACTCCTGTTTCTAGGCATCTTGTGTTGTGTTCACGAGTGTTCAAATTGGGTAGACGTACAAGCAGTCGGCTGGGAACACTGAATTTGGTTGACGGCACCAGGCCCCTCGCACAAGGGTGGGCACGTGTAAATTGGTAACATGGACCTGAAGTTTCTCAAATTCAGTAAAGTAGAGGCGGCACGATGGGAACAGTGAAGGTGGGTTTCGGGACCATATACCCACCACAGATTGCGGGACAGCGGAAAAATTGTCAGTTTCGACCTAAAGCGCTCAAATCCGATAGGAGGGAAGGCGGCGGAATGGGAACACTTATGGTAGTTTATGGTACGAGACTTCGCTCACAAGGGGGACGGGGGGATGGGAAAGAACCAGTGAGGTTGTAGCATTTGTTTGCTCTGTGTGCTCAAACAATTTAGGAGTGTGTGCTACTGTAGGACGACATTTGCAAAACAATTTTTAAAAGTATTTACTTTATTTCTAACGTGTTAGTGCTCATCACCCCAGTTAGATAATGATTGAGATTTCGACAGTTAAATAGAAGATAGGGAACCTAGATTGAATGAAATCCATTATAGATCGATTTCTATTCATTTGTCTCTGGAGCCTCCTGACTTTGTGCCTGCTCCTTCGGATTTCTTGTTTTCTACAGTTTCTTTTGAATCCAGTGACTTTGATTTCAGAAATCCCTTTCGTTTCGCAGGGCCGTCTTGTGAATCCGTTGATTTCGATTCAAGTGAAAGAGCTTCTTTGGATTTCCGATCGAAAAAGTTGTACAGATCGCCGGCATCCTCACTAGAGATCACGAGATTCGGATCCTTACTATCCGATGACTCCCCGCCATCTTCGCTGATCACCTGGTCCTTGTTTTGTCGGGCTCTCTGTTTTTCAAGATCTGCTTTATTTTTGTCCTTATTTTTACCCCCTTCTTCATGGAACTCGTCTACCATTGTACCGCCTGCTCGTACGATATATTCCCTTTCGAACCACACTCGCAACATTCTTCGGAGCAGCCTTATCAATATGAGCTGTACCAGCAATCCCAATGTCATTAAGGACGATACCACTAATAGCTTCAACTTTGCGCGGTCCCTGAAAATAAGGATTACATTTCAACCCTATTTGTTGTTTTTCTTATTGTGTTGTCACCGATGTAGTGGACTCGTCATCACGTCATAAGCATTATTCATGACGTCATTCCCTTCTTCAATATTGAAATCTATACCCCGCGAAGTAACAAAAAAGGACAGGCATCGTACGGCTTGACACACTTGAAGGAACCAGAGCACTTTCAGTTCTCCAAATTTGTAGATATTAATGTAATACTGACTTATCAGTTTTGGTCACTATAATATTCCCAAGACCTTTCCACGATGCATATCAGAACATACGAATTCCAACTAACTTCAGCTCAAGTGCATTCATACTAAGGGGGTCGAGATGAGAATGCCAATATCAGCGATATTCAGCGATGTCGATCAACCATTATCGAAAAGGGCGATCAATTTGTGCATAAAGGACCCCAAATAGCTGATCAAAGAAGTGGGTGAGTAGGGTGATAGTGAACCAGCGTATTTTGTGCAGACCTCCACAGACAGCACCACTAGCTGCTTTCATAGTCCGCCGGCCGGCGTGCGTGCCGGCGGAGGCAGTGCTAGAGGGGAGGAGGGAGGCAGACAATGTAAGGCAAACAGTCCACGCCCCTTCGAAGGTCGTTTGTTTTCAACCCCTCGAAGGGGCGTGGACTGTTTGCCTATCTGTCTGCCTCCCTCCTCCCCTCTAGCACTGCCTCCGCCGGCACGCACTCCGGCACGCCGGCCGGCGGACTATGAGAGCAGCCACTGAGTCGGATGGGGTCGAGAAAACGAAATTTCGCAGAGGAGAACAAGTCTTCCGTGGAGATTTGCTTCTTGACCACACATTTCTTTACTGCAAGTAAGGTCGTGCTCGGCAAAAACAACAAAAGTCGCACACAGAATGGCAAGTCATGAAGAACTGTACAGACTGCTTTTCGGCCTAGTGTCAATGTATTAGTAAAGAGCGGTCAAAGGGAAACGTACCTATCTGGCTAATTATTAAAAAAAAGTGGAGATATCACAGCATGACTTACAGTATTTGCTTCCACTGCTTTTGAAAGTTCCTCTTAAACTACTGCTATACAGTTCGGCAACACAAACTTGATTAAGAATGAAAACGTACCTTTTTCGTAGACAATGGAATTTCCACTGCACTTTCATTAGCATACCCTAAAACATAGTACGATCAAAAAAATCAAGTTCCATAGTTCTTGTATTACCTGATATGACAGATATCGTGGTAATGGCGCTTGTAGTGGTGATACTCTTGATGGCGTCCTGTGTGATGGTGGATATGCTCGTGCTAGAAGTTGTTGATGTTGTAGTAATAATAGAAGTAGCAGACATAGTAGTTGCTATGGTTGGACGAGTTTTTTTCAGCTTAAACTCGAGACCAGCAATCTCATCTAAGATACAAGTCCTCCAACGTCCATAAAGTCTTCTATGCCATTCCATTTTCTTCTGGAAACGATATACACATCAGCTGGCTGCACTACAAAGGAGCCTTCTGCAGATGAGGTGTCAAAATATAACTATACAAAAGTCTCCCTCCCCAATTTCTACCGCTAGCGCTATAACTGTCAACTGTACTCCTGCTAGCATTCATTTTCCCAAATAGATTTATAAGGCCACGTTTCCGGGGGAGTGAATGTGATTCAGTGACCTATCACTATCCTTGGAGGCACAAAACACATCAATCATCCAATCAGAGCTCTAATTAAGAATTTTGTACGCGAGATTGGTCACAACACTTGACATTCCGGAGAAAGGGAGTATAGACAGTCAGTTGGTGTTAACCGTGGTGTTGCCTACATGATGCTCATTCGCTGGAATACGCGGCATGTGACTGATCCTTGCAGGTTAACGGAGTTCGGAGTTCCGGATATCAGAACATACGAATTCCAACTAACTTCAGCTCAAGTGCATTCATACTAAGGGGGTCGAGATGAGAATGCCAATATCAGCGATGTCGATCAACCATTATCTAAAAGGGCGATCAATTTGTGCATAAAGGACCCCAAATAGCTGATCAAAGAAGTGGGTGAGTAGGGTGATAGTGAACCAGCGTATTTTGTGCAGACCTCCACAGACAGCACCACTAGCTGCTTTCATAGTCCGCCGGCACGCACTCCGGCACGCCGGCCGGCGGACTATGAGAGCAGCCACTGAGTCGGATGGGGTCGAGAAAACGAAATTTCGCAGAGGAGAACAAGTCTTCCGTGGAGATTTGCTTCTTGACCACACATTTCTTTACTGCAAGTAAGGTCGTGCTCGGCAGAAACAACAAAAGTCGCACACAGAATGGCAAGTCATGAAGAACTGTACAGACTGCCTTTCGGCCTAGTGTCAATGTATTAGTAAAGAGCGGTCAAAGGGAAACGTACCTATCTGGCTAATTATTAGAAAAAAGTGGAGATATCACAGCATGACTTACAGTATTTGCTTCCACTGCTTTTGAAAGTTCCTCTTAAACTACTGCTATACAGTTCGGCAACACAAACTTGATTAAGAATGAAAACGTACCTTTTTCGTAGACAATGGAATTTCCACTGCACTTTCATTAGCATACCCTAAAACATAGTACGATCAAAAAAATCAAGTTCCATAGTTCTTGTATTACCTGATACGACAGATATCGTGGTAATGGCGCTTGT